AGGAGGAGAGAAGGCTCTCTATGTGTATATATCTCTTCTAGATTTTTTGTCCAACCCCCAAAACAATCCCAGAGCCTTTCTTTTATAGAATTCATGCTCAGGAGGTGGCAAATATCTCCAAAAATGGACAGCTGGCGGCCTTACGCCCAAAACAGTGTTTAATACCATCGAAGGCCGGTAGGCCATCAATACCCACGGTTGGCCATCACCAATGCACGGCCGGCGCTTGATGGCCTCCCCTGTTTTTTGGTTCAAACTCAGCTCATGGAGGAAAAGGTCCAAATATAAAGCTCACAGGTTCAAACAAAGTAAATGTTGAAGATTTGAGGTTATTTCGGGAGCCTGATTAATTTCGAATCGCTGCAAATTCATAATTCAACTTTCATCATCAAGTGCATCGAATCAAGCGTCTAAGTCTTGCGGACGATAAAAAATGAGGTGTCAACATTTGGGAAGGTTGTTCTAATTGTCATAATTCTTTTAAGCTCAATTAAATGAGCTAGTGAATGTTTATTCAAAATTCAAATATGCATATCCTCAACATAGGTTCTTATTAAATCAAGTCCGAAAATAATTATCTTCATAATTTAGTTTTATGTTATAAAGCTCAAGCATATTATCAGGTTCCCGGTTTGGGAGTTAGTGTCAGATTTCGGTCTAGGCAAACTAGTTCCTTAAGAAACTTAGAATTCGGGGTGTTGACGCCCCAAAATCACCAAACAGCGTCGGGTTAGCATGAAGCTTGGCACACACGACTGCCTTGGCACGAGAGACTTGTGGTAGAAGAAGGGACTCGAATCGAGTCCCCAATTTGGGAGTTAGAGCCAGATTTCGGTCTAGGCAAATTAGTTCCTTAAGAAACTTAGAATTCGAGGTGTTGACAACCCAAAATCACCAAACAGCGTCGGATTAGCATGAAAATTGGCACACATGACCACCTAGGCACGTGAGACTTGTGGGAGAAGACAGGACTCGAATCGGGTTCCTGGTTTGGGAGTTAAAGCCGGATTTCGTTCTAGGCAAACTAGTATTTTAAGAAACTTAGAATTCGAGGTGTTGACGCCCCAAAATCATGAAACGGCGTCGGATTAGCACAAAACTTGGCACACACGACCGCCTTGGCACGAGAGACTTATGGGAGAAGACGAGACTTGAATAGAGTTCCCGATTTGGGAGTTAGAGCCGAATTTCGATCTAGGCAAACTAGTTCCTTAAGAATCTTAGAATTCGAGGTGTTGACACCCCAAAATCTCCAAATAACATCGGATGAGGATGAAACTTGGCACATACAACCACCTAGGCACGAGAGACTTGTGAAAGAAGACGAGATTGGAATCGGATTCCTGATTTGGGAGTTGGAGCCGGATTTCGGTCTAGGAAAACTAGTTCCTTAAGAAACTTAGAATTCAAGGTGTTGACGCCCCACAATCACCAAACGGCGTCGGATTAGAACGAAACTTGGCACACACGACCGCCTTGGCACGAGAGACTTGTGGGAGAAGATGGGACTCAAATCGGGTTCCCGATTTGGGAGTTAGAGCCGGATTTCGATTTAGGCAAACTAGTTCCTTAAGAAACTTAGAATTCGAGGTGTTGATTCCCCAAAATCACCAAACGATGTTGGATTAGCACGAGACTTGGCACACATGACCATCTAGGCATGAGAGACTTGTGGGAGAAGACGGGACTCGAATCGGGTTCCCGATTTGGGAGTTAGAGTCGAATTTCAGTCTAGACAAACTAGTTCCTTAAGAAACTTAGGGTATGTTTGGTTTGATTTTGGGAGAGTTGTTTTTAAAAACTGATTTGAAGAGAGAGTTTAGAAATTTTTTTGGTTTGTTTGGTTGTGTATTTTGAAAGTAGTTTTGGAGTTTGGAATGATTTGATATTTTGTTATAATTGAGTATATGTGTGTGAGAGAAAAAGTGACTGAGAAGGAGAGAAGAGACAGCAAAATTGATTGATTGATAGGTAAGAAAGAGAGAGTGATTTGGAAAATTTACAAACTAAACAAATTTTTTAGAAAATTTTTCCCAAAACCACTCTACAAATCCAAACTAAACATATCCTTAGAATTTGAGGTGTTGATGTCCCAAAATCACCAAACGGCGTCGGATTAGCACGAAACTTGGCACACACGACCGCCTTGGCACGAGAGACTTGTGGGAGAAGACGGGACTCGAATCAACTTCCCGATTTAGGAGTTAGAACTGGATTTCAGCCTAGACAAAATAGTTTCTTAAGAAACTTAGAATTCAAGGTGTTAACACCCCAAAATCACCAAACGGCATCGGATTAGCACAAAACTTGGCACACATGTCCGCCTTGGCACGAGAGACTTGTGGGAGAAGACGAGACTCGAATCAGGTTCTCGGTTTAGGAGTTAGAGTCGGATTTCGGTCTAGGCAAAATTATTTACTTAATTATCTTCGTAATTGTATAGTAGTTAAATTTTTATGTTTTTCTGTAATTAACATATTAATACATAATTATATTGTCATTAATTACTTTCGTTTTTTTGTTTTAAGCTATTTCCTGAGTAAGAGTTTGCTTTTTGTGGAATGCATGCCTCTGAAAAATGTGACTAACTTTTGTTTTTGTTGACTACGGAGAATGATGTGGAAAACTTTTGTTTTTGGTTTATGTTATTTTGAATTGTAAACAACATTATATATTTAAACATTATATATGTATTATGGAACATTATGTAGTGGGGTAATTTTGTTGATGTGTAGTTATGAATGCAAGAATATTTTTATTATGGAGAAATTGTTATTTCTATACAGGAATTTTTATATTATTATGCAATTTTTTTATTTTTTATTTTTTTTTTGCGACGGTACCACACCGTCACAAAAAACATTAGAACTAAAATTTATTTTTTTGGCGACATAGGCAATGTTGTCACAAAAGAAATTGGTGACAGAGGTCATGCTGTCGTAACAAAAAAAAATTTCACGACGGCATTTTTTTTTGCCATCTCAAATAAAACTTTTAGCAACGATACAACATTACAGTCGCAAAAGGTCTCAATTTTTTACTTATTATAGGCAAAAGGCCACAATTGTCGTTGCAAAAAAAAAAAAACAAAAAAACAAAAAAATGAGACGGCACTATGCCGTTGCTAAAATATTTTAACAACGCCCTCTGTTGTGACCCCCCATTTGCCATCGCTAAAAGGTTTTTGAGGCGGCATTAGGAGTATTAGCGTCCCGTCGCAAAAAACTGAAATTTTCGTAGTGCAACAAGTTAACTCATCAATCAAGACTCCAAACAATGAAGAGGAGGTTCCAATTATAATAACTAAAAGGTCAAATGCAACCCATAACTTTTCAATAGTCCAAAAAAAAAAAAAAAGTGTAAGTATAGAGTAACGGTTACCACTTAACATAAACAAGTCGGGATTAAGACTCTAGACACTACATCTACAACCAAGAAAGTGTTTTTAATTAGTTTTTCTATTTGTATATAAACTGATCATAGAACCTAGAATTTTTTTATTATTTTTAATTACTAATTGCACTGATATAAGGACCTATTTAGTAGTATTGACCAGAATATGTCACAGTGTAGTTGTATACAGAGTATCCAGTGATAAGTATTAGGAATCAGGTGATGCAGTCATGAATTTTTAAAAATCATTAACTATGAAAACAAAATTTATGTTGGTGATTGTGGATCTTGATTAGTATATTGTATACTTTACCACACACTTTCATGGATCCAATTAAAGGCATTGTTGTCTCAATAAAATTTAAGTGCATACATTTGAGGTTGCAATTGCACGAAAAAATACCTTGCAAGGAGGAAAGGTGCATTTCAAATGTTGCTAACTCCTATATATTATTAGTTGATACATGTGGTATTAATTTTATATGTTAACATGACTGTTGTATACATTACGTTCTTTCAAGCCTTTAGATTCAATAAGGGTATTTTCATTTAAATAAAGCATACTCTTGGAAAACTTATATTAGTAATACTATTTTTGTGTCCTTGCATTTGTTAAGACTTATAATGGAGGAGCTAAAAACAAAACCCCTTTACAAATTTTGAGCACTATAATTCTAAATTTGCTAAATTTAAGTATTAAAAGTAAATTAATAATAATGTGATGCCAATGAAAAAACACTTTCAACTTAGAAACCGAATGATGCAACACCGATCGTAGATGATAGAAGGAAAATCGGCGAAGTCAATTTCAAATGTCAAAGAAATTTGGAGAGTATATGAAGCAATTTTTTCTAATGTGAAGTTGGTGATATTGTTTGAATAACACAATAACCTCCATGGGTGTTTTAGTAACTATAACATGAATGGGGGGTAATTCTATTTCCATATATTAAATTTCCTTAGAGCACACACTTAATGAATACTTTCTCAGAGCACACATCAAAAATAAAAATATTCTCAGTACACATCTCTTCATTCCAACAATGCTCTTATATTTTATTTTCAAAATCCTTTTTTATTTTTATTTTTTTTATCCACCTATTCTTCTTCTTTCGAAAAACTTGGAATGACACTGCTATCGTTGTCGTTGTCGCCAACACCACCACTCTTAGCCCTCCATTGCCACTGCTACTCTTAGCCCATTTTCGCTTTAGCCTAAACCACCCTAATATACCCTTGCTACCTACCATTTCTTCAAAACCTTAACCTCTACGACCTTCTCCGCCATGATCCCAACCTCTACAAATCTTTTTATTGCCGTGAACCCAACATTTGCAAACCCTAGATCCGTTTGAAGGTTGATATCCAACCAAACCCTATCTGTTCGGATGTGTATTGGGAAAACAGAAAAAGATAAAGATTTGTCCTAAATTATAATTTAATTAAACGATAAAAATGTAATTTTGAAGAAATTCATTAAGTGTGTGCCCTGGGGAGATTTAGTGTGTGGAAATAGAATTACTCATCAATGGAATTTATTGGAACATAAGAAAACAATTTGGATCAAGTGAAATATAAGTAGGTGAAGAGAGATTTATGAAAAAGTACCTCTATAATTTATTCTTTAACTTAAAGCACGATTTATCTATTTAAGGGGAATGGGATCAATGAGCAACAAAGTGACACGTTCTTTGTTCTTCCCTCCAATATCATGTCCATGGCCATCTCCATGTTGGTACATGAATTGGGAAACCCTAGCCATGTTTGTTACAATCTCAACAAAAGTGCCATTGATGGAAGAGTCCAAAACCCGAGCTTCATTGATCTTCTTCCATGCCTCACTAATCAAATAGTTTATGTGTTCTTTGGCATCTTCTACAGAAACACCAGTTTCGTGCATGTAAATTTGGATTGATTTAGGAATGTCACCTCGTTTTACCTCATCCTAAACAAATCAAGAAGAAATTGCAGATCAATAGGTGTTAGTAAAGAAAAAGGAATTGCAAGTAACTTTATGAAGTACTTAGGCCAATATAAGAAATATATATTGCTCTAATTGGACTAGAGGATCCAATTTAGGGCAATTTGGACCCATTTCGAGTGCATCTCGCTGATCTGAACCACTTAATTTTTACCTTTTGAGTAGATCATCGATGCAACAAACACGTCGAACGGATATCGGTAGTAACATATTTGGATCACATTTGTCTTTTAAAAAAATAGACTGTCTATTCTCAAGATTATACTTGTCATTTATTTTTTTAAAAAGGAAAACGTGATCCAACCATGTGACTAACAATATCTGATCAATTGAATTTTTTGTATTAATAATCTACTGAAAAGTCACTAAAAATTAAACAGTTTAGATTATCAAGATAGACTCAAAACAGGCCAAAATTGCTCTATATTAAACCCTCTAGTCTAATTAGAGAACTTGAAAGAAGCCCAATCCAATTAGCTTACACACCCATGATGTTCCCAAATCATCTGCAAGTCTTGCAACCATTGATGACCACTTAATTATGTCATCGCACTTTTCTATGCATTCCAACTCCTCGCTGGTTATGGCATTTGTACTTAGAAAATAAGCATGTGTTAGTAATGTAGGAACAGAGGATGAAGTCCATGCATGGTCAAGGTACTCTTCAAGTGTTGGCATGTATCCACTGTAAGACCATCTTGCTTCCTTCATGTAACATTGACATAAATCTCGCCACTACAACATTTCAAAAAAGGCAAATTATATTCTTTATATTTTCCTCATGTCAATTTGGTCTGTAATTTAAATTGTATTGATTTTGTTCTTCAATTTTTTTTATATTGTGTCGATTTAGTCTTATTAATAACATCCATTAAGAAATTGAATAGAAAAAAAGGACAAAATGACCCATTCGAAAAGAAATAGATCATTTTAAATTAGATGACAACCCTTCAATTACTTTGAAGAGAATGAATGAACTATTTTGTCCATTTTCATTCTATTTTTCAAATGGACATTATCAATTAGATTTAATGTACACTATTTGAAAATTTCTAAGATAAAATTGATATCATGAGAACTATAAGAATCAAATTGACACAAGAAGTAAATGAGCATGGATTTAGTAAGCTAATATACAGCATTTGCTTGAATGTGATCAAATAATTATATGTTAGTTTGCTTAAATAAGATATAAAAAAGGACGTGGGTACCTTATTTTTAAGGTATCGGAGGATATGGACACCATGTTCCTTAAGAGTGACATAAGCCATTTCATTAATGGTATTGAATAAACCAAGGAAGCATATCTTCATATAGTCTGGAAGTTGTTCAACTGCATTGACATCCCATCTGAGATGCAAAAGTATTTTTAAAATTGTGTGTTAAAAACTTAAATAATTTTTTTACTTGTACAAAAAATAATTATAGAATCAACTAAATTCTCTCATATAAGTGTGGAAGCTGACAAAAAAGTGAAATCTACCTCATATGAGAGAAGATTATGTTTGATTTTGTAATCAATGAATGTCTGTTTAGACTTTTTAAAACTTAAAAAGTCCAGAAATTGTTCCCTTGCATTAACATCTCATCTAAGACGCATAGAAACTTAAATAATTCTTCAACGTATGTATAAACTAATCACAAAATGAAACATAACCTAAATCTATTATGAGTGAGAAAATTATGTCTGATTTTATGATCGATTTTTATACCATTAGACTTTTTCAGACTTAGAATCAGAGTCACCTAAGAGAAAATATTAAGAAGGAATGGCATCCCCTACTTGTACCAACCTGTCAATGGCATTGGTGAAAAGTTGGAGCTCATCCAAGGTACCATAAGCATCATAAACATCATCAACACATGTGGCCAATATATTGATCCTTGTTTCCATGCTCCTAAAATTTTGGAACTTAGGCTCAAAAGCCTCTCCCAGAGACCATAAATAATTCTCCACCACCCTGTCCCTAACAAAGGGCAACTTTTTCCCCCAACCTGTGCTTTCCCACCACCTATTAATTATTAAGTAAAGTATGTAGAAAGATAAAATCAGTAATAATATATAAATAAGTAATTTAATAAAAAATAATAATGTAACAAATTTTGGTCGTGACTAGTATTATTTTTAAAATGTCATTATCACATATTTTGGTTGAGAATTGTGTATAGAGCTATTAAACGAATCAAGTTATCTAAACTCAAACTCAACTTGTGTTCACTTCATTAAAAACTCATTTAAAATTAGCTTATTACGTAAACAAACAAAACTTGAATACATTTTGAAACCCGTTAAGTTTTTAAACCAAGAATAAACAACCTATTGCTCAACTCGATAAATTTAAATGGTAAATTACACTTTGCTCCTTTTATGTTTGACCACTTTCCCACTTTGGCCCGTACAATTATTTTTTTCCACTTTGGCCTATTAAAACTTAGACAGAAAATGACACATTAATAATTACGTGGTATAAAAATATTTTATCATATATGACTAACACCTCTTACATAAATTTAAACTTTAATATAATAATATATATTTTTATATTATGTGATAGTTATTGTGACCTTTTTTTAATCTAATTTTGAATAGAAGTTAGCTATAGAAGTAAAGTGAGAAAAGTTTGAAACATGAAAGGCCAAAATAAGAAAAACAAGCTTTAAGGGCCAAGTGGGAAAATGTCCAAATATAAAAGGGGGAAAGTGTAATAACCAAAATTTATATGCACCATAAATAAAATGAAATCAAATTACTGGAGCTCAGTTTGTTGTCGGCTCAATTAAAACTTGCTTTGAGATAGGATAAACAAGTCAAATTTAAACACATTTTAAGTCAAAATTTCAAACCAAATTGAAACAACCTATTACTCGACTCATTTGGTATCCTAATTGTATATAACATTAAAAAAAAAAGAATATTTTTGGATAAAATAAAATACATTAAATTGAGTAATAAGTTGTACCAATTTGGTAATAATACAAATGAAACTACCACATCATTCTGGTGTAAAATTCTATATAAATATTCTAGTGGAATAGCATTTTCCTATGGTTTAATTCTATTTCATGAAGTGATCTTTTACCTTGATGCATGTTTTAGGTCTTCTTGGTGAATTGCTTGTAACATGTTGAAATCCAATTTGGCAAACTCAAGCAACTTGGCATTCATGTCCAATCTCCTCTCATATGAATCAATGAACCACCTTGCCTCCATTCTTGGCATTGCCCAATGTAATGGGAGCTCCAAAGCATGACTCACAAGCATGCCAAGATTTGGATCTATGCTCTCCTTCTTGAGCCTTTCTTTGAGATGTTTAGCTGTGAAATCTCTAGCTTCTTCCAATATACTTTCATCCTCCATTAAGAGATATGAAGCTTCATACAATGAAAGAAGTCCCTTGGTATCCTCACATAAAGACTTCTTGAAGTTCCCAAACTTGTCCCTGAAACTATTAAAAACCTCTGCAAGCAAGGAAGTGTTTGTAATCAGTTTTACAATTTGTACAGAAATTGATCATAGAACCTAGAATTTTTCTTATTTTTTTTAATTTGTAATTGCACTGATATAAGCAGCAACATTTTAAATAGTAATATTGGGAAAAAATTGGTATATGTCATGTAGTTGTATGCAGAGTATATATCCAATGATAAGTATTCGAAATTGGACAATGCGGTTGTAAGTTTTTAAAAATCATTAACCATGAAACATATTTACATTGAGATTGTAGAGCTTGATTAGGATTGTATACTTTACCACAACCATTCATGGATCTAGGGGTGTAAATCTGACTCAGCCGACCCGGCTCATGTTGGGTCTCATGAGCTTCTGTCAAAATTCAGGCCGGGTCAGGCCAGTCCACAGGCCCAAAAAAAAGTCCCAGTTCCAAGCTCAGGGATATTCGGGCCTTGGACGGGCCGACCCAATGGGCCTGGGCTTGGGCGGGCTTGATTATTTTTTTTGTTTTTTAAAATTTTTTCTACCAAATCTTCTACTAAAAAAGACACTGGGCCTCGGGCGAGCCCGGCGGGCCGGGCTTCGAGCTAGGCCTTGAGTGGTCCTTAAATGGGCTGATAGGCTCGGCCATGGGCCGAGTTAGGCAGGTTAGGCCCACGTGCTAGGCCGGACTTCAAAATGATGGCCCAGGCCCTAGTCCAGGGGCTTGGGCCTGAGCCCAAATGAGCCGGGCCCATCCCAGGCCGCAGGCAGACTTTGGACTGCTCATTGACTGCGGGCCATTTTTACACTACTACATAAATCTAACTAAAGCTATTATAATAATTTATTGACATAAACCTGACACACACATATATATAATTTATTAGTATTGTATTGTATACTTTACCACACAAACATTCACGGATCCAACTAAAACTATTACAATAATTTATTGACGTCAACCTAATAATTTATTAGCCTTTAAAATTTGTGTGTGTGTTTTTTTTTTCCTTCATGTTTCAAATTTTTTTTCAACTTACTCCAAAAGTTAATTTATTCATAAAATTAGACAAAAAATGACACATTAATAATCATGTGCATAATTTTTTTTATTATATATAGTAATCCAATAGTTTGATTTTCATGATATCTAAAATATTATAAGATAAATTGTAATTTTTTAATATACATAATTTACTACAATTTAACACAAAATATGAAAATGAATTTTATCAGATTAATACAACTTGCACCAATTGAAAAATATTTAAGTCCACTATACATCTCGTGTATATATATATTAATTATATATATATATATTATATAATATAATAATAAAAGGAAAAGATGGGGAAAACCAAGGTTTTAAAATTTAATGAATAATGTTTGACAGTTTTAATTTGAGAGTTTTAATACAACTTTAATGATGTGAAGGTAAGGCCCACAATTCTCTCTATCTCTATATACTCTTTTTCTTTTTCACCTTACTAGAGTTTTATAAGGATGTATCATTGTTGTAATAATAATAACAATGATAAAGGTGTTTAGCAATGGTACAGGACAATGTTTTCTCAGGTTCAAGGAAAGTTCAAGGGAATTACTCAACAAGTAGTGAGACAAAAAAGAAAATACACAAATATAAGAGGGAGGGGAGGAGGGTGTAAGTGAGATTTGCATCTCATAGTTGTTAGGTTTTTTTTTATTTATTAATTGGTAATTTTGTTAGATAAAATTCTATTTGGTTGTATTTTTATTCACAGCTCTGTTTAGTATAAAGTACGTCATTTGTATGTTTTACGGTAGAATTCGTCCAGATTCTTAGAGAGGAAGAGAAAACATGATGTTGTATATTAGAGGGTGTTTATGTATTGTTTTCTTTGAGGATTTGAGGGTGATCGATTGATTAACGAGTTTCATATTAACTATTATCAATGATTGTTTTATTCTTTCATTCATAAAAAGGAAGAGATGTCCTTGGTAGATTCTGAAGAACTTGGGTCTGAAACTTTGGTAGATTTTGGAATGATTCATCATCGTGGATTCAACATCGACACTGTGGATTCAACGTTGGGCAAAGCAATTTCGAAGTGAAGACGGTGGTGGAAGAGAAATATCGGGTTCGGTTCAATTCGGATGTGGATTCATTAGATAATTGAAAGTTCTCGTGTGTAATTCATTTTTATTTTCTTAGTATATTGTTTTATGCTTTTGGTCTGTATTTTTTTATCACAATTAAAAGTGATCTATTTGTGATTTCTTTCATGCTTAATTATTTTATCGATTTATTATTGATAGTTTAATTAGAATTATTATTCATTATTTACATAATTATAAATCATTATCAAAAAATTTTAAAATTTTCAACAACTTTTTATAATATTCTATTACAAATTCACTTGCATCATATCACAGATTCGTTTGCATCATGTATATAATTATAATTTTTTTTTAAAATTTTATGTACCACTATCGAGCAATTCTGCGAAAGATCAAAGGTCCGTAGTCATTGTCACCATTCCACTCCTGTCCGCGTCAGTGTTCACTCTCAACTACATTTTCACAAGACCAGCTCATTTTATACGTCGACTAAGTCAGTCTTCGGACCTGACAAATTGAGCAATGGATTGAGACACACTCCTACAAAAATTCCACTGCCCCTTTACAAAACTGAATCGCTTATAATATAGACTTCACGCATATATAGATGGTCAAAATCACTTTGAGTGTATGGGAGTCATCCCCAAAGAAGATCCCAAACATTTCCTGACAAATGAGCAATGATTGAGACTGTCACCTCCACAAGATCCCCCCAAGACTCCCATAAATCTAGATCACTCATAATGTGGACCTCACACATACATGAGTAGGCCTCACACATAAATGGAGGATAAGAATCACATTGGGGGTGTAGAGATCATCCCCAAATAGGGTCTCAAACATTTCCCTTAAACAATTATAGGCGCGGCAATTTGGCTCTCACACATACACATAATTAGAGAATTAGTGTTGATCATTTCTTTATATGAACAAAAATATGACACAATATGAATATTAAATAGATTGTGATACAATTGAATATGCATACACTATAATATATAAGAGTTTTAGAAACTAATTATTTTGGTCTCTAAAAATAAAAATTTTATTGCAAAAGATATTTCTTGGTTGTTCCTCCCAAACTTCACTGAGGCTGGGTTTGGACCTCTCTTGGCTCACCTACAAACACATGAATAAGCGTGAGCGAAAACCTAGTGAATAATATCATATAAAGAAGTTATACATACGGTATGCAAAACAACATGCTTTAAACGGCCTCGGGCGCAATTGGTATTTCTATTTAGCATATATACAATTTAGGTCAAGTGACTGCGGTTCCGAACACATCATACGGCCCCGGGCCCAGTTCATTCATGTCAAATGGCCTTTGGCCCATTTATCTTTCATTCATGCCAGACTGGCCTTTGGCCTAACCATTCATTCAAGTCAAACTGGCATTTCGCCCATTCATTCTTTCATGCCAAACTGGCCTATGGCCCATTCATACTTTCATGTCAAACTAGCCTTTGGCCCATTCA